TTAGTTTATTTATTTATTAGTTTATTTATTTATTAGTTTATTTATTTATTAGTTTATTTATTTATTAGTTTATTTATTTATTAGTTTATTTATTTCGTTATATAGTTATTTAGTTTTTAGTTATTTAGTTACTTAGTTTTGGCCAAAGAGAAGCGGGGGTGCCTTACTGTAGGACGAAATAAGAGCATTCCCTTGTAGTAGGGCCCACTACCCCTCATGCTGATGGCTCCGATCTACGGGGGGCGGGGGGGAGCAGCAGCACCTGCGCGAAAGCGGCGGGTCCAGCGTCCCTTAGAGAAGGATTCGCCGCACCTGGTCAAACGCCAACATCTTGAATGTATCTGGACCTGATGTTTGTCCGATGCATTCAAAATGTTGACGTTTGGCGAGTGGTGCGGCAAGCGCGATAATCTCTGGCGCTGACACTTCACCTCCTGAGGACACGTGTTCGACTCTCGGTAGCAAGAACTTAAACGGAGGGGAAAACCGGATAAGAGTCTTAAGACATAGTAGGCCTTGAGCTGAGCTGACAGACGTCCACGTAAACAGCTGACATGCGTCTACGTGGAGAGCTGAGAGGCGTCCACGAGCGTCCACGTGGAGAGCTGACAGGCGTCCACGTGGCCAGCTGACAGGAGTCCACGTGGAGAGATGACAGAGACCACGTGGACAGCTGACATGCGTCCACGTGGAGAGTCAACAGGCGACTGCGAGAATTGGCCGGTCGACATTTCAGATAGGTCCTTTACGAATCTATAGACGTCTTGCCATAAATGTTAAATTATTGTTCCTCTTATAAAATAACCATAGCAAAATAATAAATCAAAATTGTGATTTGTATGGTGCTCGTCAGATAGGTGAAGGGAAAACAATAACAATTTTAAGCTAAGAGATGTAATTGGAAGACCAAGCACCCACGTTGGCCGGTAGGTTCGTTAGACTGGCTCAGATAGGTCGGGATCCCACTGAAGCCGATCGATCGCAACCTTGGGTCGCAACCTTGGGTCATCGTACGGATGCATGGGTGGAAGAGAGAAGAAAAAACAAAAAAAAGGCAATTAAAAAAAAAAAGAGAAAAAGAGACAGACGCTGACCGACCGAAAGATCCAACGGGAAAGAGAAAAAGAACAGGCACAAAATAACATATAGACGAACAAAGAGGAAGACAGAGAGGAAGAGAGGGACAGACGTTTAAAACAAAAAACTGCCATGGTAGAATACACAGCGAAGCCGAAAACAGGTCGGAATTGTTGAAGGGGGGAATAGCAACGAACTGACTCAACACAGATAGATAGATAGATAGATAGATAGATAGATAGATAGATAGATAGATAGATAGATAGATAGATAGATTAGATGGATAGATAGATAGATAGATAGATAGATAGGATCAGATCAATCAGCTAGATCCTGCGTAGGTAGATAGATAGATGGATTGGATTGGATTAGATAGATAGATAGATAGATAGATAGATAGATAGATAGATAGATAGATTGGATCAGATCAATCGGATTAGATCGATAGATTGGACGAGATAGATAGATAGATAGATGGATACATAGATAGATACATAGATAGATGGATATAGAGATAGATGCATAGATAGATAGATAGATGGATGTATGGATAGATAGACAAATAGATAAATTGGATTCAATTACACTGGGAAGATTGGATATATATAAAGAGATAGACAGATGCGTGGACAGAGAGAGAGAGGGAGAGCTTTAAGAAGATTCTTGGACCGGATAGCAAGGATAAGATCAGACAAAGGAGAAAAACAAGAAGCAAGGAGCAACAAAGAGACAATTCGCTGAACGAAAGCAAAGCACGCCACGGGCCTGAAGATAGCAAAAGAAGCCACAAGCTTCACATGACCCAAAGAAACAGACGCGGGAGAAGCGAGAGAGAAGAGATAATAGAGAGAAGACAAAGTATGACAGGATTTGAAACCGCTAGTGGTAGTAGCTGACCTTGCTCGAGGATCGCAAACTGTTGTTTCGAAAGCTGAAGTTGAAACGGAACGTCGATTTCCAATCCATCTCCCTCTCGCCAAAGTTCTTTTCTACTTTTTTTTTTCTTTTTCCCGCTCACCAAGCTTCTCCCCCTCTACTTCACAGCAAATTGCCGAAGCTGAAGATAGTGCCAATCAGCTAATTGCAAAGCGCGCTAAGCCGCCCACGTGCTGAGTCTTCTTAGGAAAGGCCTTCCTGCTCTCTCTCTCTCTCTCTCTCTCTCTCTCTCTCTCTCTCTCTCTCTCTCTCTCTCTCTCTC